ACCCCTGAATTCTATGATTCTATGAATTGTCACAGGATTTGTTCCATATTGAAGGATTTATCCCAATTCATATTGTTGGACTTGTTGCAGTTGCATTTTTCAGTCATTGAATTTTTCAGGACCTGACTCCACTCTGAATTTCAGGATTTGCTCTGTATTTATTACCCTTTATTAATATAGAATTATATCTATTCTTTGCTCCATTATTTATGGAGGATTTATCACAATTGTACATTGCAGGATGTTGAAATTCCATTTTTTAGGACTTGTGGCAATTCTGCATTGAGGATTTGTTCCGTACAGAAAGATTTATCCCATATTGAAGGATTTATCCCGATGTCATATCACAGCACACGTTGCACTTGCATTTTCCAGGACTATTTGCAATCACACCTTGCAGAATTCCTTGACCACCACAAGATCCCTTGCACATGGCAAGATTTCCATCCCCTGCAAGTAGCCACACCCATATTATCCCATCAATGCCCCTTCCTGGGGTTCTCACTGGGCTTTTCCCCTCCCCAGAGCTGCACCCAAAGATGCCATTGCCTTCCACGTGCAGGGAACACCGGGGGTGAAGCTCTACGTGGTGCATGAGACACAGAGCACCAAGTTGCCCTCCAGCGTGTGCCGCTGGCCCCTGGCTGCTGGCACCGAGGTGCTGCTGTCCATGGATGCTCTCAGCAAGGATGTGGGCGATGAGAAGGTGGGTGCTGGTGTGCCAGCAGGGTCCGACCTTGTCCTTGCATGGTTGTGAGCACCCACTCCTTGTTGCAGGTCAGGATCTCTTATTTCAGGGAAGGTGGTGGAGTGCCCGTGGGCAGAGCCATGCTGTATGTCACCTGTGTGGGTAAGTGAGCAGGGGGAACCCTCAAAATGTGGTACTGGTGGGGTTTGTCGACCTTCACATCATCCCTCTCCCTGCAGAGATCTCACTGGACGCCGACATCAACCGCAGCGGCGCCGTGAGCAGGACACTGCTGGATAAGGTATAAATTGGGGCTGGGGAGTCCTCCAGGTCCATGGTGGGATTTGGGGAGATGGATGACAGCCCCAGTCCTGTTTGTATCCCCCCTAAGACCACTTGGACATGGGGTCCTGACGGACACGGAGCCATCCTGCTGGTGAACTGCGACCGCGACGATCCCAAAGGCAAAGACATGGATAACAGCGACACCTCCATCTGCTCCTATGAAGGTACCAGCACATCCCATCTAAACCCCTCATTTCCCTATTTCCCCCAGAGATTTTCCTTCCTAACACCCTTTCCCCCCCTACCCCAGACCTGAAGGACATGTCACAGATGGTGCTGCGAACACGAGGACCTCGCACCATCTTCACTGGCCACCACCTCCTCCTCCACGTGGACTACAGAGATGCTGATAAAGTTGGAGTCTTCTATGGTGGCAGTGAGTGCCCAGCACAGGGTTTGGGGGGCATAGACACCCCAAATTATCAGGGTTCAAGCCAAATCCTTGCAGCAGAGTGGGTACCACTTCTTCAACATCCCACCTGCCTCCCATGGGGAGGTTTATCTGATCCGTGGGGTGATTTTGCTCCTCCTGTGATGCTCCACGGGGTCAAATATGACTTTTTTTTTGCAAGGTTTTAACCAAACTCAGAGTTGAAACACTGCAGAAAAGGGCATGTCAGGTTAAAGAGGTACATGGTGCTTGTACCCACAGACAGTTTGGAGCTGGAGAAGTACAAGCATGTGCTGGGGGGCTCAAAGCTCACCTACACCATCAAACCCAGCCGGCACCGGGACGAGAGCATCTTCTACGTGGAGGGACTCGCCTTCCCCGACGCCAGCTTTTCAGGGCTGGTGTCTTTCCATGTCACACTGCTGGAGAGCCCTGAGAAGGTACTGGCTGTGGGGGGTTGGGGTAAGCTGTAACAGGGGGGAGTAGAACCCAAATGTTGTCCCTTCCCATCCCAGGGTTTGCTGGAGACTCCAATCTTCACCGACACAGTGGTTTTCCGCGTGGCTCCATGGATCATGACCCCCAACACGTCAGCACCACTGGAGGTGTATGTCTGCAGGTGGGTGCTGGGTGAGTGGCTGCATCCTGCCCAGTGCTGGATCAGCTCCCACATCCCATTTTTCTTCCCAGTGTGGAGGACAATGAGGATTTCGTGAGTGCCGTGGCCGCTGTGGCTGAGAAAGCCAAGTGCCTGCTCACCGTGTGCCCGCTGCCGGAGAACCGCAATGACCGCTGGATCCAGGTGATGCCCAGCCCCATCCTTCCCCACTGCAGCAGCTCCAGGGAGGCTCTCCCTCATCTTCTCCATCCCTTCTTCAGGATGAAATTGAATTTGGCTACGTGCAAGCACCCCACAAGACCTTCCCTGTTGTCTTTGACTCGCCCCGTGATCGCGGGCTGAAGGATTTCCCTGTCAAGAGCATCCTGGTACCAACCCCTTCCTCCTCCTTTCCCTGACTTTGAAAAATCCATAAAAAATAGGATTAATCTATTTATTTCCTGATTTTGGGCAAGGGAGGAGGCAGCACAGAGGATGATTTGGGAGCATTGCACTTTGGATGCTGACAGCTTTGTTTTTATAGCACTTGTCTCCTTTTTTGCCCTCTCCAGGGCCCTGATTTCGGTTACGTGGCCCAGCAAGCTGTGAAAGGTGCTTCTGACCTCGATTCCTTTGGCAATTTGGAGGTGAGCCCCCCTGTGACAGTGCAGGGCAAGGAGTACCCCTTGGGCCGCATCCTGATCGGCACCAGCTTCCCCAGGTGAGATACAGAACGGAAGAAAAACCCCAAAATAGGGATTTTTATGCACCATTTGAGGTTAGCTGCAAGCAGAGCATCACCTTGGGCACGCCAAGGTGTCAGTCTCCCCCTTGTGTCCTCACAGATTTGGTGGCAGGAGGATGGCTAAGGCTGTCAAGGATTTCCTCGTGGCCCAAAAAGTCCAGGCACCAGTAGAGCTGTTCTCAGATTGGCTCAGTGTTGGCCACGTTGATGAGTTCCTCAGCTTTGTCCCTGCACCTGATCGGAAGGTAATGAATCCTAAGGGGGGAAAAGTGAGGTGCAACCTTTATACCCTCCCAAACTGGTGACAGTGGCTCAAGATGAGCCAACAGTGTGCACAGGTGGCCAAGGAGGCCAAGGGCATCTTGGCCTGGCTCAAGCACAGTGTTGCAGCAGCACTAGGGCAGGGATCATCCCCCTGGACTGGGCACTGGGGAGGTCCCAGCTCAGTGCTGTGCTCAGCTTTGGGCACTCACTGCCCAAAGGCCATTGAGGCTCTGGAGCGAGTCCAGCCAAGGGCAACGAGGGCAGCAAAGGGCTAGAGCACATGGGGAAGGGCTGAGGGGGTTGGGTTGGTTAGCCTGGAGAAGAGGCTCAGGGGTGACCTCATGGCTCTCTGCAACTCCCTGACAGGGTTGGAGAGAGGTGAGGGATGTCTGTCCTGCCAGGGCTGCAGGGAGAGGACTGGAGGTAATGGCCTTGAGCTGAGCCAGGGCAGAGTCAGAGGAGATGGTAGGAGAAATGTTTTCCTGTCAGGGGAAACACTGGAAACAGGCACTGGACTAGGGAATTGCTCAGGGAGGTGTTGGAGTCACCGTCCCTGGAGATGTTTAAGAGGTGTCTAGATCTGGTGCTGGAGGATCTGGTTTAGGGTTTAGGGGTTCCAGCAGTGACAGGTTAATGACTGGACTTGATGCTATTAGATGTCTCCTCCAGCCCTGATGGTTCTGTGAATCTCCTCCCTTCTCCCCCCGCAGGGTTTTCGGCTGCTCCTGGCCAGCCCCAGCGCCTGCTATCAGCTCCTCAGGGAGAAGCAAGAGGAGGGGTATGGTGAGGCAGCGATGTTCCAGGGTAAGGGCAGAATGAAAAATGGGGATTGATGGGTTTGGTTTCACTTTTTCCTGCAAAATTTGATGGGGTGGGTGAGTGCAGGACACCCTGAAATCAAACTAATGGCTGGAAAAGGGGGAGCAGAATCAATTAAAAGCCACAGAGCTTTGATTTCCCGGGTTGGGATGGAGCTCACTGCTGGTGCCCCCTGAAATGGGGGAGCTCCTGGATCAGACCCAGGAGTCTCATCCCAAACATGCTGAGGGAGGAATTCCTGCTTGGTTATCTACTGCAGGACTGGAGAATGTGCCCAAACAGACGATAAATGAGATTTTGGCTAATGAAGGGCTCCGGAAATTCAATAATTATGCTCAGGTGAGGAAGGGGAACAGGGGCCTCCTTTTCATCCCTCCCTCCATGTCCTTCTGTCCCTCCAGCCCTCCTGCCCTCCCTGTATCCCTCCACCCATCTCTCCCTCTGTCATCCACCCATCTCTCCATTACTCTGTCCATTCCTCCCTCTGTCCAACCTTCTGCCCATCCATCCATCCCTTTGTTCACCTCTCCATCCATGTCCTTCTGTCCATCTTTTCCTCCTTCCACCCATCCCTCCCATCAGCTGCCTGCCCATCCCTGTATCCCTTCCTTTGTCCCCCATCTCATGCCTCCATCTCTCCATCCCTCCACCCATTCCTCCCTCTGTCCAACCATCTGTCCATCCACCCATCCCACCTTCCTTCCCTCTGTCCATCCACCTCTTTCTTCACCTCTCCATCCCTTCCTCTTTCAACCCATCCCTCCCTTCAGCTGCCTGCCCATCTCTATGTCAATCCCTTTGTCCCTCCATCTCCTCATCCCTCCATCTCTCCATCCACCCACCCATTCCTCCCTCCTTCCATCTCACTATCCATCCACTCATCCCTCCATCCATCCATCCCTCCCACCCACCAGTCCTGCATCAGCTGGAACAGGAACATCCTGAAGAGGACACTGGGGCTGGCTGAGCAGGACATCCTGGACATCCCCCAGCTCTTCCAGGGCAAGGTGGACTCCGGTGCCGAAGCCTTCTTCCCAGACATGGTAACACTCCTCATCCTTCCCTGCCCCAACCCCCAGAGGGAATTTGGGGTGGGATTTGCACCCTAACCAGTGTCCTCATGCCACAGGTGAACATGCTGGTGCTGGGCAAGCAGCTGGGCATCCCCAAGCCCTTTGGCCCCGTGGTGGGTGGGCAGTGCTGCCTGGAGGAGCGTGTGAGGGCACTGCTGGAGCCCCTGGGCCTCACCTGCACCTTCATTGATGACTATTACTCCTACCACCTCCTCTCTGGGGAGGTCCATTGTGGCACCAACGTGCGGCGCAAACCCTTCGCCTTCAAGTGGTGGCACATGGTGCCTTGAGGTGGCTTCAGCACCAACTTTCCTCCTCCTCTTCAAATCCCTCTCCCTGTTCCTGTAAGTGCCTTCAGCGTTTGAAATAAAAACAGGCTGTGGCTTCTTCTTCACTTTCTGGGTATGGCAGAGCTCTCCCAGTACAGGGGTCAACAGTAAACTGGCTAAACTGGGGGGAAAATAGTGGTGAATGGGGTTAGAGAGTCCTTTGTCTTGCTGCATGTGCCAAAATACACGTGGGCATGTCCCATGTGCAGAAAGCACATGTGTACCACACAAATCATGGAATCCTGGCATGGTTTGGGTCGGAAGGACATTAAAGCTCATCTCATTCCACCCCCTGCCATGGGCAGGGACACCTCCCACCAGCCCAGGCTGCTCCAAGCCCCATCCAACC